TCCTTCCTTCCTTCCTTCCTTCCTTCCTTCCTTCCTTCCTTCCTTCCCTTTTCCTTCTACCATTCCTTCCTTCCACCTACCTATACACCTATCAATTTTTCTATCTTCCTTCCTTCCTTCCTTCCTTCCTTCCTTCCTTCCTTCCTTCCTTCCTTCCTTCCTTCCTTCCATCCATCCATCCACCCACCCCTCTATCCATCCATCCATCTATCCACCCATCCACCTACTCTTCCTTCCTCCCTCCTTTCCTTCTACCATTCCTTCCTTCCACCCACCTATCAATTTTTCTATCTTCCTTCCTTCCATTCGTCCATCCGCCCATCCGTTTTCAATTCAACGTCCCTCCCTTTCACCCATCCATTCACCTATCCACCCGCCCAACCAGCCACTCCCTCTTCCTCCCTCCCACTTATCTACACACACACATCCATTTTTCCACCCATCTACCTCTCCAGCCACCCACCCACCCTCCTCCCTTCCTTCCACATCCACTCATCCATCCATCCATCCATCCATTCATCCACGCCCTATAAAAAGGTCGAAGTAATTTTTTGGAGCTTTGACTTAACTGATGGTGGTCTGTGCTGAAAAAGGCTAATCTTCCAGAAATAGGTCACCTCCAGGAAGGCTGATTTCTCTCCCCCCCCCACCCGCCCTCCCCCATTTCCCCTCCCAGTTCAACAGTTTCGAGCAGCTCTGCATCAACTTCACCAACGAGAAGCTGCAGCAGTTCTTTAACCATCACATGTTTGTGCTGGAACAAGAGGAGTACAAGAAGGAGGGCATCGAATGGGTGTTCATTGACTTCGGCATGGACCTCCAGGCCTGCATTGACCTCATTGAGAAGGTACCTCACTCTTCTCCATGCAACTTCTTCTTTAAACTATCTATGTCCATCTTTCCTGATTCCAGCCAGAGGGTGGTGGACCCCTCTGGAGACCCAGGAGGAAATCTTATATGAGGAATGAATGGTTCTATATTGGACTTATAAGATGGATCAGAGGTTGGGCTAGTAGAACTCAACTTTTGGAAGTCCTCAAATGCCTTTAGGGCCAACATCAGCACCCTTGAACAGGATAGCAGAGTTGGAAGGGGCTTCAGAGGCTTTCTAGTCCAGCAGGAAACCTCAGACCATTTCACCCAAAGGTTGTTCAATCTCTTCTTAAAAAACCACCCACGTCTTCTGGAGACAAGCTGTTCTACTGATGAATTGTTCTCACGGTTAGGAAGTTAGTTCTAGATTGGTTCTCTCCTTGATGAGTTTCCACCTGTTGCTTCTTGTCCTGCCTTCTGGTGCTTTGGAGACTAGGTGGACCCGCCCTCTTCTTTGTGGCAACCCCTCAAATATTGGAAGACCGCTTTCATGTCACCCCAATCCTTCTTTTCCTTAAACTAGACATACCCAATTCCCGCAGCCGTTCTTCATATGTTTTGGCCTCCGGCCTCCTTATCATCTTCGTTGCTCTTCTCTGCACTCTTTCCAAAGTCTCAACATCTTTTTTGCAGCGTAATGACCAAAGCTGGATGCCACATTCCAAGCGCGGTCTTATCAAAGCATTATAAAATGGTGCTAACACTTCCAGTGAAATGTCCTAATGGTGAGAACAATTTATTTATTTGATTTGATTTGTCAGTCGCTTACAGGATGTTAGGTATAAGTATAAACATGAGTAAGGATACAGGAATTAGGTACGAATAAATGGGGACAATAGAACAGAGACAGGAGGCACAATGGTGCACTTATGCACGCCCCCTTACAGACCTTTTAGGAATGGGGTGAGGTCAAAAGTGGATAGTTTGAGGTTAAAGGAGTTGGGGTTTGAGGATGTAACTACAGAGTCAGGTAGTGCATTCCTTTCACCAGTGGAACAGTTTGCTTCTAGAAATTGTGGGTGCTTCATCCCTGTAGGCTTTTTAAGAAGAGATTGGACAGCCATTTGTCTGATATGGTGTAAGGTAAGGGTCTTCAACCTTGGCAAATTTAAGACTTGAGGACTTCAACTCCCAGAATTCCTGAGCTAAGATGATTGGAGGAGGAATTCTGGGAGTTGAAGTCCACAAGTCTTAAACTTGCCAAGGTTGGAGACCCCTGGCATAAAGGATTGTCCAGTGGAATTGAAGCTCTTAAGCAAGGATCTTCAGCCTTGGCAAGTTTAAGACTCGAGGACTTCAACTCCCAGAATTCCTGAGCTAAGATGACTGGAAGAGGAATTCTGGGAGTTGAAGTCCACAAGTCTTAAACTTGCCAAGGTTGGAGACCCCTGGTATAAAGTCTCCTGCTTGAGCAGGGGGTTGGACTAGAAGACCTCCAGTGTCCCTTCCCGCTCTATTACGACAGACGTGGTCTTGATTCTATCCCTCTGTTAACGCCATTCGTGTTAACCCTCGGCGAGATCCTGAAGGACAGAGCTTCTCAGGTTGTAATACCTTGGTCTTCTTCTTCTTCAGCCCATGGGCATCATGTCCATCCTGGAAGAAGAATGCATGTTCCCCAAGGCCACCGACATGACCTTCAAGGCCAAGCTCTACGACAACCACCTGGGCAAATCGGCCAACTTCGGCAAAGCGCGGGTCATCAAGGGCAAACCCGAGGCCCACTTTGCCCTGAACCACTACGCGGGCACCGTGGACTACAACATCAACGGGTGGCTCCAGAAGAACAAGGACCCTCTCAACGAAACGGTGGTCGGCCTCTACCAGAAGTCAGCGTTGAAGCTCCTTGCCAACCTGTTTGCCAACTACGCCGGAGCGGACGCACGTAAGGAAAATGGGCACGTGGGCGGGGTGGGTGGGGAGGAGGAGATAAGAGAGGAGGCCCTGATGCCTTCAAACAACCCGGTCTATGAGATTGAAGGCTGTGAGCAGAAGGAGCCATAGCTCCTCAGCCCTCAGAGTAGGGAGGGTGTGTGACCGGTACGGGACGTGGGATGGGCGTAGAGTGAAGAGAGAGAGATAGGTTCGTGTTCTTCATAAACCACACTCGGTGCCCTTAGGATAGCAGCGTGGCCTACCTCACAGGGTTCTTATGAAGGTTATGGGAAGAGACGACTTCCAAAAGTGGTTTTTTTTTTTTTTCCAAAAGGCAGCTGGACTTTCTTATATTCCCCCCACCCCCCGTAGAACAAGAAGCAACGGGTGGAAACTAATCAAGGACAGAAGAAACCTGGAACCAAGGAGAAATTTCCTGACAGTTAGAACAATTAATTAGTAGAACAGCTTTTGCCTCCAGAAGTTTTGGGTGCTCTGCTCCAACACTGGAAGTTTTTAAGAAGAGATTGTCTGAAGTGGTATATAGGGTTTCCTACCCAAGAAGGGGGTTGGACTAGAAGACCTCCAAGGTCCCTTCCAAATTCTATTCTATTCTA